ACACACACACACACACACACACACACCCACACACACACCCACACACACATACACACAAGAGGGATGTTACCCATTAAGGGTAGGTAAAACACTGCAGCATGTAGCAAAACAAGTATTATCCATGTTCCGTTAAAAACAAAACTTTAAATTTACAAATGATTAGAAATTTGTTTTTTATAATAAATTAAGTTAAAAAAATTCTAAAAATAAATATTTTGGGGGGTGGGGCCTCATTGGCGGGCTGGATGTGCTGAATGTGGCCTGTGGGCCGCCAGTTGAATTGCCCTGCCATAAAAACGAATGTTAAAATCTTAATGTAGAAACATTTAGACTGCACTAGGCTTCCTGTTTCAGCTGCAGATATATCTGTGCCACGTCTTCTTCATGCTACATATGTCCTGCTGTGTGACGTGATTTGTGTCATACAGGTGAGATTGTTCCTACAAACCAATAGAATGTCAGAATGGTTTATATTTATACTCCCCATCCACTCACAGTTAAATCCACTCTATCCAGGAGGTGCCATGTATCTGACTTTGTGCTTCTTAATTTTCTTTTAAATGAAAMGAGTAGAAGTAGAAGAGTAGAGGTAAAAAGTTGGCTAAAAAAAGTACAGATAACCAAAAAGTCTACTTAAGTAAAGTAAGTATTTTTACATTAATTTGCAACTCTGGCTGAGAATGACTGATTCTGAAAGTTATTAGTGCAATGAAATATTACACTGAATGAGGTTACGTGTGCACCACAAAAAATGATTTGCATATTTTATCATCACTGAAGCTAAGCTGCCTTTCTTAAACAAGAGTTTTCCCTTTAAAATTTGAAATGAACGACACCGTTATCAGCACGCAGCCGCTTCAGTCGTTCTCTGGAGTCAGGATTCAGAATAAAAGATAAAGAAACATCAAAGGCCTCCCTGTGAAGTGTGAGGATTCCTGCCCTCTATTAAAAGAAGTCTTTCACACAAACAACATGACAAGTGTAATCCTCCTGACAAATCAGTAAATCTCCCCGTTGTTTGCACCTTTTGTGCTCAATTCCCGCTGAGCCGTGTTCCTGAGAGGCACGGCCTGCTTTAATAAAGCAGTTTTGCCTTAATTAACTAATAGGATTGTTTTAACCATCCAAGAAAAGAATCGCCCACAGGAAGACAAACTCTGGGGAAGTGTGTGTGT